ATTTTTAAAAATTCGCTTTTTAGGGGCACCTGGGTGGCTCAGTTGTTTAAGTGTCTGCCCGTGGCTCAGGTCATGATCCCAGAGTCCTGGGATGGGGCCCCACGTAGGGCTCCCTGCTTGGCGGGGTGTCTGCTTCGCCCTCTCTGCCCCCCATCCCCCGCTCATGCTCACACGCACACTCTCTCTCAAATAAAGAAAATCTTTTAAAAAATAAATAAATCTGATTTTTAAAAAGCAAACCATCTGGGTTAGGTTCCATTTATTATTTCAAGTGTTGGTCAAAAATGAGCTGGCGGGAGACTCCACAGGCTTATCTGGCCGTGAGTGAAGGAAGTGGGTGCCCTGCCTTCCCACAGGGTGGGTCAAGCGGTGAACATCCCAGACTTTCTCAGCCCAGACTGCCCAGAGTTGCCTGGCCCTGGAGATCTCTCCGCCTGGGACAGGGTTATCTCTGAATGACAGCATGCTGAGTCTCCCGCATGGGGTGAGGCCGCCCTGAATCTCAGGGGGGCAACAGGGAGCCCCCCAGGCCAAACGCAGCCCACAGGAGGCGTTCCTTGGCCCGTGCAGTTCCAACAGCTTGGAATTTCACCATCATTTGAAAATCAACTTTGGAAGAAAACTAAAGCATCTTCCTAAGGGGCACAAAATAAGATGAGACTAAGTAAGACGGGAAGACTCCACATCCTTAATGACGACAATGTGCCAACACATATAAACAATGCAATTTCAAGTAGTGGCCCACGGAGTCTTTTCATTGGATAAACTAATGTCGGGACTTACAAAGAAAAGTATGAAATAGAAGAAGGGTGGGAAGGACTATGGCAAAGGTGGTATTTCAACTCGCTGGGAAAAATAGAATATTTAGTCTAGGGTGCCAGCTTAGTACAGTATCAGTTTATTTATTACTAAAATAAAATAGAATCTTGGGGCGCCTGGGTGGCTCAGTCATTAAGTGTCTGCCTTCGGCTCAAGTCATGATCCCAGGATCCTGGGATCGAGCCCTGCATCGGACTCCCTGCTCGACGGGAAGCCTGCTTCTCCCTCTCCCACTCCCTCTGCTTGTGTTCCTTCTCTCACTGTGCCTCTCTCTGTCAAATAAATAAAATCTTAAAAAATAAAAAATAAAATAAAATAGAACCCTGTCTTACACCATATTTAAAAAATCCAGAGATTTCACATGAAACCTCTGGAGTTCTGACTTGCCTGAAAACCCTGGCAACAATGGGCCCTCGTTTTCCCAAGACAGCCATGGGCTGGTGCTCAGTCGAAACTCGGGGGCTTTCTGATTCACCGGAGTCCCCACCACTCCCTACTGTCTCCCACCTGGTGTCTTGCCCGGGCCCTGAGGTCACTGGAGTTTGTAGCCCCTGAACTCAGGTCTGGGCACAGCAGAGAGGTCCAGGGAACATTCCCGGGAAGCTGGATTTCTGCTGTTAGGTACCTTTGCGCTTACTTTTCGAGGCGGAAATACAAATCTGGAGGAGGAATGTGGCTCGAGGATCTGTTAAGAATGTGGAGCTGGAAAAAAAAAAAAAAAAGAGTGTGGAGCTGGGAGTCAGAGAGGCTTGAGCCACCTGTGAAGAGTGGCTCCAGGGCCTCTGTTTCGTCCTCTGCCAGTGGGGATAGTAAGAGCTATCACTCATCGTCTGCAGGATCTGTGCTGTTGTTCCCGTGAAATGCTCGGCCCAGGGCTCAGGGCAAAGCTGCGCTGGGGAAACCTTCTCAGCTTTGGGGTTCTTGGTTCTCAGGCTTGTGAGAGAGAGAAGGAAAAGAGGAGGAAAAAGGAGGGAGGAGGTGGGCAGAGCAGAGGATTTGCTTTGATCTCCTTGTTCCAAAAAGGAGGGGGAAAAAATAAACAGCCCTGGGCTCCTTTGATTCTACCGCCTGCTAGAACTCTGGAGCTGTTAAGAACTGGCCAAATTTGAATTGGGCAACTCCCCACCCACCCCCCCTGCCAGCTTTTCCCTGGGCGTTTACATTCAGGGACCCCAAAACCTGCCCGAGGCGTCCCCATCAATTCCCTTGTCTCCTTCCCCCACAAAGGAGACTCCATGGTCGGGGGGAATGGACAGGATCTCCCCACCACGGAACCCCACATACGAGACGAGAGAAGGGGCTTGGAAAGGGACCCCCTGAACACGTTAGCAACCCAGCCCCCCAGTCCAGGAAGCAGCCCTCAAACAGAGGATTAGTGAAAACTGCAGCTCTCAGGCATTTGCCCTGCCGGTGAAGTGGGTACGAGGAGGGTGAGGTTCTTGGTGAAGAGCAGAAACCTCTCCCCACCCAGTGGCTGGTGGAGCCACATGGCACAAGGGTTCCCAGTGTGGCTTTGAACCTGTCCTACTTATGCTTGTGTGGCTTTGGGCAAGTGACTTCATCCCACCCAGCCTCTCAGTTCCCTCAGCCGTCCTAGCCCCCCTGCCCCACAGGATTGTTAAGGGTTAAGTGAGCCCGTGTCTGTCAAGTGCCTGGCGCACAATGGGTCCTGTCCTTGAGCACTATTATTTTAAAATGGTTTAGGGAGGAGCGCCTGGGTGGCTCAGTCGGTTAAGCGTCTGCCTTTGGCTCAGGTCATGATCTCCAGGTCCCTGGATCGAGCCCTGCGGAGGGAATCCCTGCTCAGCAGGGAGTCTGCTTCTCCCTCTCCCTCGAACATTCCCTCTGCTTGTCCTCTCTCTCTCTCAAATGAATAAATAAAATCTTTTTTAAAAAAAATGGCTTTTAGGGAGTCCCAGAACAGCCTCGGGTGCAGAGGCTGAAAACTGCCCATGTCTCAAGTCCAGAAGGCTGAAAGATGACCAGTTGTTTGAAATCTCTAAAGGCACCAAGGGCCTTTGGTCAACAAGGTCGGGACTTGGCGCCTGTTTGAAGTTGGAAAGAGGCAAATTCAGAACAAAGTTTAGCGGACAGAGGACACTTCCTTCATGTTACCCGCAAGGTTGCCCCGGCCAGTGACCCTAAGAGCTTCCCCAGGACTGATAAATAGCTGAGGCCTAAGGCACAGGGGCCAAGAGAATAGTTTCTGGGGCAGAGGCTCCTTCCCAAGTCTGGCGAATGTAGCCTGCGTGTCCTGGCCACAGCGTCTCCACCTGTAACATGGGGCCAGTAACACCAGCCTCAGAGGTTTTGAGGATATAATATAGGACATTGAGTTGGTGCTCTATGAATGAGTGAAAGTCTTCCGTTAACCTCACACTTAGGGTAAGGCAGGGAAAGCAGGGGTCAGTGGAGGAACTGGATGGTTTTCAGTTCCTCCTTAGTAAGCCCCAGCCTCATTCCACATCAGTGGCCCATCCACGGCCATGGGAGGCAGGTGCTTGCTCTGCTTTGTGCGGTGCTGAGTCCCCGGGGCCAGAATGGCACCTGGCATAGGCCAGAATGTGTGAATCTGGGGAGTGCACCGAGAGGCCAGGTAACCTGTCCCAGGCCACACAGCCCACCTGACTGCCTGGAGTCACGGCCGGAAGTGGAGCTCAAGTCCTCTGGCTTCAGTCTGCCCCTGCTCTTTGCTGAAGCCTGCTGTCCCTTTCTTGACTACCCTCTGTCCAGGCTTCCCCCACCTGGCAGAGCTGGCTGGGGAGCTCTGTCTGGCCCCTGCACAGATATCCCAGCCTCTACTCCCCTCAGCGAGGACATGCCTTCCTTCCCTGGCAGGGCCTGAGGTCAGGAATCCACAGCCTATGGGCCCCGTCTGGCCTCAGATGTGTTCCGTGTGACCTCACGCATAGCGTGTGTATATATACATGTGAGTAGGGGCTTTCCGCCTCATAATTTTGTATCATTTGCTGACTCTTAAAAATTGGAGATGTCGCCTAAACCCAGGATTTCCAGATTCTTTTGGAAAGTCAACAGCTCTGGCCACCTGGGCCTACTTCTCCTTTGGCACCGGTCGGCGGGAGTAGTGTTCTGGGTCCCCCCCACCCCGGGTCCCCATGTCCAAGGCTGGCCCACTTCATCATCTCTGGGCCTGCCCTCTCTTGCCCAGTAACCTTCCCCCATAAGGGCCCCAGGCTTACTTCAGAGAGACCCAGGCTACCCACTCTTCCAACCACCATGCTACATCTCCTCAGCCCACTCTTGGCCCTGCAGCCTGGAGTGCTCTCAGGCAAAGCCCAAAAGGGCGGGTTCGGGGTTCATGGTAGGTGGAATGAGGGCTCCGCAAAGATGTCCACGTCCTGATCCCCAGGACCTGAGAACATGTGATCTTACACGGCAAAGGGGACCTTGCAGATGGGATAAAGTTAAGGGTCTTAGGATGGGAGATTAACCTGGGTGACCCGTAGGGCCAACGTCATCACAGGGTCCTTTTAAGAGGGAGGCAGGAAGGTCCCAATCAGAGAAGTTGATGTGTCAACAGAACAGAGGTCAGAGCCAAGGACTGTGGCCTCTAGAAGTTGGAGAAGGCAAGGAGCAGAGCCTCCAGAAGGAACACACCCCTGTTGACACCTGGATTTTAGCCACGTGAGACCCGTTTGGGACTTCCAACCATTTGTGTTGTTTTAGGCCACTGAGTTTCCCAGAGTATGTTGTAGTTGCAACGGGACACATAACCGGGTTTAAATCCTGGGGCGGCCGCGTAACTGGCTGTGTGCACCTGGGTGGGTGAGCCAGGGTTTCCCCGTCTGAAAAGGAGGGACTTGGGAGCCCCCTCCCGGGCGGGTGTGCGCACTAAGTCGGTGATGCGGGTGAAGCCCAGAGCACACCCTGACAGCTCGTGAGTCTGGCGACCGCACTCTGAACGTCCTGGGAAGCTGCCTACTAAGAGGAGAGGCCCAGTCCAACCACCCCCCCAGCCCCCAAAGCCATCTCCCTCACCAGCGGTGCCTTCCAGAAGCCCCGCGGTGCCCAGGTCGGGAGGTTTGGTGCCCAGCTTATTCCCATGAGTCCTCAGGCAGGATGAGCTCTGCCCTCCCTTCCAATAGCCTCCAATGGGGAAGGCCAAGTACACGGTCACTCTCCGGCCAGAGCCAGTGGGAACGGGACGTCCTGGTCCTCTTGTCCTGGCCGGGCCCAGCAAGCTATTTTTGGGCCCGTTTATTGATGGGACGCCGGTGCCCGGCTGGACTCCTGATTCAAGAGGAAGGCCTCAGGCTGGCCTAGGGCTCTGCTTCTCCAGGCCCTTTCCTGCCCTGGGACAGCCATCATTCGTGTCCTGTCTACAGCCTAGGACATGTGTGTGGTCTGAGCTGGCTGGCTCTGGGAAAGGCAGGGGGCCCACTGGTGTGGATGGATGCCGAGGGTCACACGAACTACTCTTTCCCCAGATTCTGGAGCCTGGTTTGATTCACAGGAGACAGAACCCAGAATGAACACAGGAACACATTTTGAGGGCAGATGTAAGTTCAAATCCCAGCTGTGTCCCCCACTAGCAGTTTTAACTTGGGCAAGCCTGGTCCACTGTCCGAGGCTCTGTTTCCCTGTGTGTAAAATGCAATTGATAATAATCCTCACTCCCAGGGAGGGAATGAGGCTTGAATGAGGTAGTGTGTGCATCTCAAAGCTTGGCATAAGTAAGCGCTCGTAATTAATAATAGCATTACTAATAATGATTGACAGCTGACAGTTATTGGGAGCGTATCATGAGCTAGGCCCTGGGCTCAATTATTGACCTATGTTATCTCAGCTTCATCCCTAGTAATTGCTGGGCGCAGGTGAGTGACATGGTTATAGATGCCATTATTAGCCCTTTGTATGGATAAGAAAATTGAGGCTCAGAAAGACCAATGACTTGCCCAAGATCACACAGCAAGTATGTGGCAGAAAAGCCTGCCTTGAACTCAGACCCGAACTGGGGACAGGGTGGGCCCCAAGTCCCAGGGACAGACCCCTTGTCCCCAGTGCCTCTTCCCAGAGGATGGTCACAAAGATCCTGTAAACACCCGAGCTCCCTGCCATGCCTTGGTCACCTCGGTCATCCCTCAGTCCCGGGAAGTGAACGTCTGGTCCTTCTGCATGATGGGAATCCAGAAACCAAAGGTTCCAGAATATTTTTTTAACCCTCCTCCCTCCCCTCAGGGTTGTTTTATTTTCCTGGCTCGTTGGCATAAATTCTCCAAGACACTGGCTGGGTTGGCCAAGGCTCCGGCTGACTTGGAGGGGGTTTTGCTGTGTATGCTGGGAGCAGGGCGCAGGAGGCTCTGAATCCCATGCAACATACGTAAGGGCAGAAGGGGATGAAGCGTTTCCTTCCTAAGGTGCTCTCTGTGGCCTACACCTGCTCACAATTCACCCCAGCACCCTGAGGGCACCCTCCAGCCTCCTTTGGTAAAACAAACAGCCCTTTCCCAGATCTGCTCTTCTGCCTCTCTAGCCTCCTCTCCCACCCTGGCCTTCCCTCCCACACCATTCTACAAAAAGGTTATACTTGGCCTTTCCCCTTGCTGTTCCCTCCTGCAGAATGCTGTTCCTCCATTCTCCACCTGCCAGATGCCTCTCCTTAAACTTTACAACTTCTTCAGTGTAAGGCCTTCCCAGAACCCTCCTCAACCCCCAGCAGCATTTCCCCTGGCTTGGGGGTGCTGTAGCAAAAGAAAGACACTGCTTCTAGAACTACCTTGTGCTCCGGACTCCAGTGCCCAACTGGCCAGTTGACACCTCCACCTGGGTACCACCCCCTCCAAACATCACAAAACAGAGCCCTCCGATTACCCTCCTAGGTCCTGGTCCCGCCTTCTAGTCTCATCTCAGGAGATGGTGTCCCCCCACCCCCCACAGGCGCTCAGACCAAAACCTGGGGAGCATATTTGACTCCCTGTTCCCTCACCCCACACATCCCATTCATCAGAAGTCCTCTTGACTTGACTGCCAAACACATTCTGAATCCGTATTCTTGTCACCTTTATAACCACCATCCTCACCTGCCTGGAATGTGATCCTGGCCTCCTCCCTACTCTCCCAGTTTCCAGCTTTATTCCACTCCACTCACCACAGTCAGAGGAAACTGTTTAAAAGATAAATTAAGTCTGCCATTCCCCTGCTCAAAACCCTCTAGGACTCCTATCTCCCTTAAAGTAAAAATCCTCCTCCTCACCGTGGCCTATAAGACCTTGTATGATCTGACCTTTGCCTTCCTCCCAGCTTCATCCCTACCCTCCCTCCCTCACTCTGTTCCTGCCACACTTGCCTCCTCCCTGTCCCAAACTAGCAAGCTTGTACCTGCCCCCAGGCAGAAACTTGCTGTTCTTTTTGTCTGAACCTCCTTCTGCCAGATATCTGTCTGACTCATTCTCTCACTTTATTCAGGTCTCTGCTCGAGTATCATCTCCTCCTGGCCTGCCCATCTAAAATACTCCCCTCCATCACCACCAAACCCTCTACCTACTTAATTTTCCTTCATTGTAGGCATTATTATCTGACATATTACATATTATCAGTATATTTGTCTTAATCTGGTCTGCTGCTAAATGTTCAACAACTGGCTCTCAGCAAGGGGGAGCTCTGATTTTACCTTTGCCAATTTTTGTGGTGTAAATACTCCCACCATGACCAATTTCAACATGAATTCATTGAACTTGGAGTTGAGGAGAGATGCGTAGCGCCCTGCCATTATATACTATTTCCATCATATTAACAATGTGATATTGTATGATATAATAGATGCAATAGATGTGAGTAAGCTTGAGAATATAGACAATAATGAAACAATTAGAGTGGTAAGTTTGAGTCGTTGTTACCTCTGTTTTGGATGATAATTTATTTAATTGTAAGTTCATATAATTTAATTCCTAATGATGTCTGTGTCTTAACAACCAGCTTGCAGGATTCACAAGTCAGGACAAGCCGGCCTGGGCACAGCCCTGGAAATACAGCAGCGAGGACAGGGATGTTGTCCATCCTGTTCCCCGCTGTTTCCCTGGGGCCTGGAATAGTAGAAGGAGCTCAGAGCAGGTGCTCAGCCTGAGTTTGTTGAGCTTTTACTAATGCATCTGTTTGTATCAGAAGGCACAAACTGTTTGCTTCTATCTACTTGACTCTGTAGGCTGAGTCCAGCCCACAAACGGGTTTCATTTGGCTCTCAGAATGTTTTTAACATTAAAAAAAAATTTGTTGCCAACATTTAAAAGTCAAGAAATGTTTGCAGGAAATTCCACATAAACCTAGGTTCGCAGCTTCTTTGGGGAAGTCGGAGGTCTGGGCATACTGGTCTTGATGCTCTTGGGCTGACAGAGGCCGGAACTGAGGGGGAGCCTCCCCCTTCCGATGGGTGCACGGCAGCTCCCACCCCTCCCTGTCACCTCCCGCAGGGCCCCCTTCACTCATTTACGTAACCCGCTGGGCTCTGTAGACATCTGAGTTGTCATTGCTGTCTTAGCCTCCACTTAGCCTCAGTCACAGTGTCCTCGACAGACTAGGACCACCTTGAGAACCGTGAGGTCACCTGGGGCCTCTCCATTCCTGCTACAAGGCCCAGCACACAGTAGGACTACAGGTCCTGGAATTTTGTTAAATGTTTGTTGTCAACGAATCCTGCCCCCCCACCACCACCCCCGGACTACCCTAAACTGGGACATGCACTAAATCCAAGCCCCGACTGGAATGTGACAAAGAGGTTGGCCGAGGCCAATGTTTAAAAATACCCCAGGGCTGGTCAGCTGCAAAATGCTCAGAGGTGTTGAAACAAGTAGGCAAAGTCTGGCCAGAGGCCAGCCGCCCCAAGTTTGCTCTGTGAATGAGGGCTGATGGGAGGGGTCCCCAGCAGCTCGGGCTGGGGGTGAGGGGCGGGGAGACTGGACTGCAGCCCCCTCCCCCAGTCCCCTGCTTGGGAAAGGTCAGTGCTGTTTATAAACAGCACCGGGTGACATGACATAATTCCGTATAAAGGGTTACCAAAGCCTGGGCCCAGGGTGGCCTCCCCTGATGTTTCCACGCCACGGCCTCCTGGCATCGAGGGAGCTGGGATGTTGCTCACCCTGTGGTCTTCCCGCGGCCTTCAGGGCCACTGCCCAGCTTGCTGGAGCCACAGTTAAAAATAATGCTTACAGCACAATCCCCTGGGGGGCAGCCGGCCTGGGGGCTGGACAGGGGACAAATGAGCTCTGGTCAAGCGCCCACCGGGTGCCAGGCGCTTCAGAGGCATGAGATCACTGGGGCTCACCAGAGCCTTGGGAGGAGGGATTGTCATCCCATTGACAGATGGGAAAAGTGAGGCCGGGGAGAGATGGCACGCGCTGGTTCAAGGCTTCCTGGTGAGTCTGTGGCAGCTCGGGCATTCAAGTTCTCGAGAAAGTGCCAAGAAGTCGGGGGCTCCGTGTCTCACTCTGCTGGCTCCCGAGCCCCGGGGACAGTGGCCAGGCCTCAGCAAAGCCCTGAGAGCCAGCTCTCAGCTGACGTGTCCCCGATCAAAACCTGCCCCTCCCCCCGGCTCCCCCTCCCACTCAGGGGCAGCTCCATCCTTCCAGACCCTCAGGCCAGGTAGCAGGGCTCCGTCCTCCTCCCCACGCTCGTCCCCATCCCCTCATCTCTGCTCCATCTGGGAGGGACCATTCCTCCTCCCCCCCACCAACTCCTGGTGGGCCCCCAGCCTCTCCAGCCCAGCCGGCTGCCAGAGCCTGTTGTGGTCCCGGCCTCTCCTGGCCTCTGGCTGTCATTCTCCAGCAGTGGTGAAGGTGACACATTCACCCCTGTTTATTGGTTGCCTGTGTGTGTTGACACGCGACAATGAACAAGGCACGGAGACCAGCCCCTGTCCTTGTGGAGCTGATATTTGGGAGGTGGAGAGCAGGATCCACGTTAATGGGTAATGCGGGATGGAGCAGGGGGGCTATCTGGGGGAAGAGCGTCCCCTGCAGAGGAAGGAGCAGGTGCAAAGGCCCTGAGATTGTGCCTGGCTTGTGTGAGGATGAGGAGAGGGCCAGTGTGGCTGGGGCGGCCCGAGTGAGGGGTTTCGTGGGAAGCAGTGAAGGCAGAGGGTCGCGGGGCCGAGGCTTGCACGTCATTGGAGGGCCTTGGGCTTTTCTCTAGGGCAGATGGGAACTGTGCAGGGTCCTGCGCAGAGGAGAGCGTGGCCTAGGTTCTAGCTTCTGAAAGACCCGCCCTGGCTGCGTGTGGAGCATTGGACTGCAGGGGCGAGGAGGGAAGGGCTACAGTCACGGAGGAGGTATCTGTGACGGTCCAGGCCGTAGGAGATAATGACCGGGCCCAGGGTGTGGCCGTGGCCGTGGCCGTGGGGAGAGGAGAAGTCCAGAGCCTCACGTTCTGGATTTGTTCAGAAAGTAGAGCTGACGGGCCACGCTGCTCCACCAGGTGTGACAGAAATCCAGAAATCGGGGATGAGTTCAGGGTTCCAGGCTGAGTAACTAGAAGGATGATCCTTCCACCTTATGGAGAAGGCCAAACGCTGCGCTGGGCTCCCACGGAAGCACGGATGTGGGGCAGCCCTTCCCTGGGGCCCCGAGGGACCTGCACAGAGCCCTTTGCCAATATGACGGATCTTGCTTTGCAGAATCCCTCCTGGGTCAGATGGCATTCTTCCCCCGGCCCCCCCACTCCTTCCCCGGCCCTGAGGCCTTTGTAAATTGTGTGGAAGACCAGGTCCCTTCTGCCTTCGGGGTCTGAAGAGCAGCAAACTCTTCCCTAGCTCTCACTGTGTGCCTGGCAGGATCCCAGCCTTTACATCTGTGAACCTGTTTGATCGTCACAACAGCTCAGAGAGACGGGGACTGTTATTTCATCTCTTCAGGAATGGGGAAACTAAGGCCCATAGAAGTTAAGTCACTTAGCGGGGGTCACACAGCTCACAGGTGGCAGAGGCAGGATTTGACTCCAGGCAGTCAAGACCGGGGCTCGTGCTCTTACCCACTCTGCTTCCTCACGAGGAGCTCACCACTGACCATAAGAAGCCAAACTGGGCTTGAGGGATTGGGGTTGGGGGAAAGGCTTTCAGCCACCCCTCCCACATAGTAAGGACAATTGTCATTTTCTGAGCACCTGCCCCATGCCCGTGCTTTCTCTATTCGGCACATCAACTGAAAGGGGTGGAGATTATGATGATTGTGCCCATTCTACAGACAAGGAAAGTGAGGCTCAGAGAGAGGAAGTGCCATGGCCAGAGTCACACAGCCAGGCATGAGAACCTGGGACTCTGGGGTTCCAGACCCCAAGACCCCATTCTGTCCCTTCCTGCACCTGGCACCTGCTTTACCTGGTAGCGAGGGCGGTGCTGCGGGGCTTCATGGCCCTCTTGTTTTCCTCCAGCTGGCTGGCATAGGATAAGGAAGCAGGCCAGGGATGGGAGCGTTAATTCAGGAACAGCATAGCCCTTTGTGCTTGCAGATTCTGTCTGGTACAACAACATTTCTGAGGCCCACCCTGGGCCATCCGGGGATGCCAAGGCAGGAGGACAAAGCCGAGAGTATGAGAGAGGTAGAGGTCCCAGCTGCCTCTGAGGACAGAGGAAGTGGTGGGTGGGGTTGTCACAGAAGTTCAGGTCGAGAGCAGCTCCGAGGAGCGGTGCTCACGAACCTTTGGCCTTGGCGGCCTACTTACCTCTCCAGACCTCAGTTTCCACCTCTGTGAAATGGGTTGATAATGCCTGCACGGGAAGGCTGTTGTCAGGTCTCATTTGGGCCCCCAGGGGGCTCGCTCCCTCTCCAGCTGCCCACTGCTGCCTTCCCAAACAGGAAGAGTCGAGGACCCAGTACATCGTGGGTGCTCTGAAGCCCAGGAGCCTGCTGGACATATGGAGGAAAAGAATGAACTTCTTCGAGACTAAGCTTCACCTGGGAAGTAAGTGCTTTCTATCTACTTGACACACACATAGAACCTCTCAACCACCACTGAGGCGAGGCCTACAACCATCCGCACTTACCAGGTAAGAAGAGAGACAGCCAGAGAGGTTATGAGCCCTAACCAAGGTCACAGAGCTAGGAAGCGGTGGAGCAGGGATTTGAACGTGACTCCCTCTGCCTCCTTAGCATGAGCTCTTCAATCACAAGGCTGACATAAAAATACTTGAATTTTGTTGAGCACTTACTTTGTTCCATGTATTAGCTAATATTAAACTTGACCTCCCATGTATGAGACAGGTGCTATTTTCTTTCCCGTTTCACACATGAAGAAAGAGGCTCAGGACCTTATGCCGGGTCACAGAACTAGGCATTTGCAAAACCAGCCTTCAGACTCAGGTGGTCTGGCTCCAGAGTCCATGGTCTCAAACCCAAATGCTCTGTTTGGGAGGGTTAGCGAGGACGTGGTGCCTGGCGCGCACGTAAGCACTTCCGAAGTTGTTAAACCTTTGAAAAGCATGTAGAGACAAGCAGGCCACGCCGAGGTCTCACCGGGGCATTCGCTCTTCCCTTATTTCCATCCCTTCCTGTTGGTCCCACTTGCAGAGGAAAAGCTGCCCGTGGGCCATTTTCCCCCTTCATCCCCTCCCTCTGGGAAAATTCTGTGCAGCATCCACAGGTCACGGGCTGCTGGCCAGAGGGCTGGCTGGAGCAGGGTTAGGCCAGGTTATCGGATTTCCACCTTCGCCCCCGACCAGAGCTGTCTTTCCAAAACAGAACATTCAGTCACCGCCTGTCCCTGTGCTCAGCTGTCCTTGTGCCCCTGACCTCGCTTCCTGCCCACCCGCCCCAGGTTTTTCCCAGTGTCCTTGTCTCTTACTGACATCTCGCAAAGATGACCAGAGTGTGGAAAAAAAGAGAAAGAGAAACAGGAGCCAAGAGACACCGAGAGGATCCGAGGACCTGTTAGTATCTGACAGTGAAAGCCAGAGACGGAGATAATGAGAGAAACAGAGGAGACAGAGATGGAGAGACAGAGGGCACCCCAGACATACGCTCTGCCTCCCTGGGTCCACAGCCTTGGCCCTCGTTCCACAGAGTCTTGACCTTCCCCCAAAGCTATGGCATCTTCTCCCACCTTTCCCTGCCCCCGGAGTCCAGCGGGTCACAGGAGAGACACCCCACCTGCCCCTCCCTCACCTCCATACACAGTCCCTCACCTCACTAAGTCCTGTTCATCCCCCTTCCTCTAGGAAGCCCTCCCTGCTTCCACAGCCCCTCTCCAGGACCCCAACGGCATTTACCTCACTGTGCTATTGTTTGTTTTGGGGTGTGTCTCCCCCACTAGAACATCATCTCCTGAGGGCAGGGACTAGGTCTGCCTTGCTCACCTGCATCCCTGCCTTTCTCACCCAGCACAATGCCTGACACATTGGCTGAATGATTAAACCAGCTGCTTACGTGTCCCCTGGGAGAAGCCTTCCCTGACAGCACTTGTCATTGTATTTCACTGTGTGATTATTTGACTTAGGGTCTGTGTCCCCCGCTGGTACCAAGAACGCAAGGTCTGTGGCTGTTACGTTCACCCTTGATTCCCCAGTGCCTGGAACAGTGCTTGGAACCGAGTAGGTACTCAAATATTGGTTGAATGAATGAATGAGCAGATGAACTAATCACGAGCCATCTGGATGTTTTGAATTTTATGTTTAACCCAGTGGAGTCCAGCTCAAATCCTCTCCATTACCATTCACAGCAAACCCTGAGCCCTTCCTAAGGCCTGTGAGGTCCTGCGTGACCTGGCCCCTGTTGCCACCTGCAGCCTGACCTCTGCCCCTCGCCTCTCCCTGGCACCAATGGCTCTGTTCCCCAGGGCGCCCTGCATGGTAGACACTCTCGGCCACCCCCTTCACACCCCACCAGAAGTCATGTTAGCAGAGTTGGGGTTTTTTTCTGTAAACAAGACTGCATAGGAAAATGGAGCATACTTGCACAAACAATCTCAATGTCACTGATGGACCTTGGTCACTGTGGGACAGTCTCCAAGTTTTGGCCAGCTAGCTCTCCAGGGCCTTGCCCTGAGACAGGGTTTGAGTCCTAGCCTCAAAAGAGCTGCTTGAGTGGGAAGGAGGGGGTGTCCGGGGGCCCCTGAGTCTGACCTTCACCTTCTGCAGAAGGGAGGAAAGAAGGCTGCGGGGAGCCCAGGGAGCGGGGCTAGCCAGCAGAACCCAGCGGGTCCTTGAGGCTCAGACCAGGCCCAACCTCCCCCAGGAAGCTCCCCAGACCGCCTTCCCTGCTTCGGAGCACCCCTGCTCACACCCTGATGGTAGCTTATACCATATTCTGCGCGAACTCTCTGCTGGACAGTGCTCCTAGTGGATAAGAGTGAATCTTTCATATCTTGGTGTCCCCAGAGCCCGGGTCCGGCATGGGGGGGGGCATCAGCAAACATGTGCGGACGAACAAAATTATTATTGAACATGCACTTCCTGCCTGGGTTCATATTTACTGTTGCTCTCACTAGGATGGGAGCCCAAGGACCTTGTCTCCTTTATCTTTGTTCCCCAGGGTCTAACACTGCTTGACCCATGGGAGGCAGCATGGAACATAGGGAGAAGAAATGAATGAACCAGCCCTTCCTACCATCTCCCACTGTACTGGGAGCTCTGTGAGTTCGAGGACCAAGTCTTATTTGTTTCTAGGGCTTCTGAGTCCAGCATAGGGCTTGGTGCAAAGGAGATGCTTGGTAGGTGTTTGTGGATGGAGGGAGGGAGAGATGGATGGATAGATGGGGGATGAAAGGATGGATGGATGAAGGGATGGATGGATGGATGGATGGATGGGTTGGTGGATGAAGGGATGGACAGATAGATGATGATTGAATTTATCAATCAATGGAAGAATGAATGGAAGGTTCCAGAGAATGAGTGAATAGAATGGGTGCTTGGAAGTGTGTAGGTAGATTGATGGCAGGTAGATAAATGGAGAAATAGAAGGCTGGGTAGATACATATTATAGTCCTGGCTGAGAATGTAGGAAATATTGCTTTTTACACCCTGCCCCCCCCCCAACACACACACACACACACAAGGCCACCATTTTAGAAGAACTAAAATGAATCCAAAGAATGACTCAGAGAGTTTTCAAGTGAAAGATATTTAGGAGAAAAAAATGTAAGAAGGAAGAGCCTCTGAGCTTCTAAAATTTTTCAAGCAAAACCCTGTAAATTGGTCATGCTTTCTTGCAGTGTTTATGTTTTTATTGCGGGCCTAGCGTATGGAGTGCCCTGGGTTTGGTCTGGAAATGGAAAAAAGTTTCAGATGTGGACCCTGACCCCAGGTTGCTCAGGGTGTGCTCAGAGAGTCGGATATATGCCCACACATCTTCAGTTGGTCTTCTTTTTTTTTTTTTTTTTTAAGATTTTAATTATTTATTTGACAGAGAGACAGCAAGAGAGGGAACACAAGCAGGGAGAGTGGGAGAGGGAGAAGCAGGCCTCCTGACGAGCGGGGAGCCTGATGCGGGGCTCGATCCCAGGACCCTGGGACCATGACCTGAGCCAAAGGCAGACGCTTAATGACGGAGCCACCCAGGCGCCCCTTCAGTTGGTCTTCTTGTTGGAGGTGGGGTATACTGACTCCTTTTCTGTGTGACTTCAAGCAATTTGCCTAACTTTTCTGAATACTGATTTGCTCATCCTGTCTTGTAGGGTTGTGGTGAGCCCACACTTATGAAGGGCAGAGCCACGTCTGGATTACAGCAGGTGCCCGGTAAACGCTAAGCTGGGCCTCAGCGTGTGACACCGGCTGACCTTCTCAACTTTTCCTTCTCTTCCTGTCAACTCGTTGCAACTGCCCACAGTGAGGGCCGTGAACCGGTGAGGGGCTCAAATTGAGAGATCCAGTACACCTGGGCTCAAAGCCGGCCTCCTCCCCTCCCCAGCTACCTGGTTTCATAGGAACCCCTTGCCCTGTCAGAACCTCAGTTCCCACGTCTACCTCTCAGGCTCCTTTCTGTTTCCCCAAAATAGCTGTCATGGCTGTACCTAGGCTGCAAGAGAGGCTAAGAAAGTGAGTTTTCTGGCATCTACCTTGGGGAGGCATGGGGTCCTAAGGTTGGTGCTATCTACCCAGATTTGCTCTGAGACACAGAATGGGGTGAAGGGGGGTCTGGAAGGGCAAACAGAGGATATCTGCTTCTCACCCCATCTGGAAGAGAAGCTCATCCCATGCTATTCCACTATCCTACCTGTTTATGTGTCCAGCAGTTTATACCACATGACTTTACTTATTTATTCACTTATTTTCTAGTCTATTCTCCCAACACTGATATTGTCAACATCATGAGGGGCGGGCCTTTATCTTGATCACTTTATGTCATCAGGGCCTAAAGCCCAGCCAGGCACATAGTTTGTGTTAAATAAATGGCTGAATAAATAAATGGAGAGACGATTGGATGGATGGATGGATGGATGGATGGATGGATGGATGGATGGATGGATAGATGGATGGATAGATGGGTGGATGATGAATGGATGGATGGATGGATGGATGGATGGATAGATGGATGGATAGATGGGTGGATGATGAATGGATGGATAGATGATGGGATGGATGGATGGTGGATGGATAGGTGGATGATTCAGTGCATGGATGGGTGGATGGGTGGATGATGGATGGATGGATAGATGGATGATTCAGTGGATGGATGGATGGATGATGGATGGATGGATGGGTGGATGGATGGATGGATGGGTGGTTGATGGATGGTTGGATGGATGGATAGATAACTAGTTGGGCACATCAGAATCAATTAAAGAGCTTAGATAGTACACACACACACACACACACACAGGGGTCCAAGCCCTGCTCCAAAAATAAAAATAAAAGCCAACATTTAATGAGTACTTACTGTATACCAGGCCCCATGTGCAGCCTATGAGGTAGGGCATTTCACTGAACCTCACGGCCACCCTCTGAGCTAGTAACTAATACTAATCTTTTTTTTTTTAAAGATTTTATTTATTTATTTGAGAGAGAGAGAGAGAGAGCACGAGCAGGGGCCGGGTTTGGAGAGCGGCAGAGAGAGAGGGAGAAACAGACTCCCCACTGAGCAGGGGGTCCCTGGACCCCGAGATCATGACCTGAGCTGAAGGCAGACGCTTACCTGACTGAGCCACCCAGGTGCCCACTAATCTTTTTTTTTTTTAGAGGACAAACCTGAGGCTCAGAGAGCTAGTCACTGACCCCAGGTCACACAGCTCCAGGAGGTGGAGGAGCCAAGATTCAAGTCAAGATCTGTTTGATTCCAGAACCAAGCTTGGCCTCACTGGGCGGGCGGGGATGCCCGGGAGTCTGGGGGGTCCTCAGGGCTCCACAGGTGATTCTGATATGCAGCCAGGTGGCGAACCCTTGAGCAGGGCAGTGAGTTCTGGGAAGAGTGCTGGCTCTGGGGCCGGCTGACTCCTGCACCGTCCTGCAGCCTACCTCCTCTTCTCTGACACGGAGTGGGGTTTCAGGAGGCCGGAAGGAGCAGAGCAGCATGCCTGCTGGATGGTAAGCACGGGGGACTCACCCTGCAGGTCCTGTTGGTGCAGCAACAGCCGCATTTTTAGTCCCTGGACTGGGGGCCAGTCGCCCCCCTGCTCCTTCTCCCAGCTCCCCGGTACACATTCCCAGCTTCCCGGTGGGGAGCTTGAGACACGCGGCAGAAGACCCCACGGGGGCACTCAGGAGGCTTCAGCATGTGGGTGCAGAGCAGGGATGCTGTCGAGACTCCTGCCCAGAAACACATCCCGCACCGATCCTCCCACACGCAGGTGTGCGACCCAGCCGGCCAACACCGTGCGTGCAGGTCTGACAGCAAAAGCCAGGAAACCGGCCTGATAGTGGTCGCAGCTGATGTGTGTGTACAGGGCAGGCTTTCTCCACTCAGGTGGCCGTGTAGACTGTTAGCAGCGTCCCTGGTATCAGTAGCATTCCCTCCATCCCGGTTGTGACAACCAGGAATGTCTTCAGACATGGCCAATGTCTCCTGGCAGAGAACCCGTGGTCTAGAGTTTGCTCCATGCGGGGCACAGGTGCGCATACTCTGCAGAAGGCACCTCCTCCTCGAGACCCTTACGCCTGGAGACGGATGCTTTTCGTCCTTCTACTGTACAGAGGCAGAGACGGCCAGGTTAGTGGTTTGCCCAAGGTCACGGGGCTGACATTTCAGCAATGCTGTGATTTGAACCTGTGTTAAGTCCCAGGTCCCTCTTTTTCAAGTCGATTTTTGTGGGTCCCTTGGACTTCTCCCCATTCACAACCATGTTGTCCGTGACTAGATGTAATCTCATTTCTGCTTTTCCCATGTGGCTACCTTGGCGCATTCCAGAACAGACTTGCAGGGCATGAATTATAGCCCAAGCAGATTCTGTAATCTGCACAGGATTCTTTCTTTCCGGAAGTTAGATTTGCTCAATTATCGACAATTTGGAAAATACAGAATAAAAAGAAAAAATAAAATTTCGTATTGGACTTCCCACAAAAGGCTCACTTTCTAGCAGCCTTGTCCTCTGAGAAGCTCTCTCTGCTTTGAAATTTTATCATCCAGTTGCAATCACACTATATAATACAAATTCCCCAAACTACAAAACCAGGTTTTTTTTTCATGTTATTACAAAATCCTCTTGGACACTATTTGTAATTGTTGCCTGTTGTGGCCGAGACCCCAGTTTCTCCTCCATTCTCTGACCTCTCCCTCTTCTTTCATAATAGAAATCTCAAGTTTTAGCTGGGCATGTGGCCACCCAGAAAAAAACTACATTTCCCAGATGTGTCCATGTGACTAAGTTCTGGCCAATGATACATAAGTAACTTCCAAGTAGTGTCCTCAGAGAGAGGGCGCCTGCTCTTCTTTGTATCCTCCTTGCTGGCTGGAATGCAGGCGTGATGGCCAGAATCAGAGTGGCAATTTTGGGCCATGGTGGAGCAATAAGAGAAAAGGTACCTGAGTCCTGGATGAATTTATAAAAACACCCTACCAGCCCTGGATAGCCACCTCCACACTTCTTTTCGATAAGAGAGAAACAAACTTCTGTTTCATTTATGCCCCTGGCATTTGGGGTTTTTAGCCACTCAAAGATGAACCTAATCCTGAGTATTGCACTAACATTGTGCTGGAGGAATTGTCTCTAACATTCTTTTAGGAATTACCACCTAAGTAGCTCAACTGTTCCCTGGCGATTGGGCAATTAGGTAGTTTCAGACTCCCCGCTACTCTAAAATAATTCTGTGGTGAACATCTCTGTGCATTTTCACTATTTGTGGTTATTTCCTCAGTACACAATTCCAGAATAGGGACTTGGTTGGGGGGGTCAAAAAACATGAACCTTCTTAATGCCTGTTAATAACCATCCGCCCAAGTGGGCCAGAGTCAGGATGGGAGGCTACATCGCCAGGAGAGAGGCTTGGGTTTCATGGAATAGCTGCCCCAGGGAAGCTGCTTTGTCGCTGAGGACCCCTCCCCCTGCATCTGCTAGAGCTGGTGCCTTCTCCTCCGCACCCCCTCCTGTCCTTCTCTTCTAATCACACGTCTCTGGGAGGCATGTCTCCCTGATGAAGCCCAGACCCCATGCCTGCACCAAGCTGCAAGGGAGGCTGGGAAAGTGAGTTTTTGGCATCTTCCTCCGGGAGAATGGCCACTGGGGAAGGAGTTTCCTTGAAGCGGATATACAAGGTGTGGGGCAGCCAGAAAGTAGGGCGAAGCTTAGCTCCCTAAGCAAAGACCTACTGGGCTGGGGAGGAATGCAGAAAGGCTTCCTGCCTCACTTTTTAATTCGTCCTCCACTTATCCTGAAGACCAGCAGGCAGAAGTAAAGAGGACAAGGATATCATTCCCACTGGTGTCACCCTGGCAGTTTACCCAGCTCTGCAAGGGCTGCCTTAGAGCTGGGGACCCACACCTGGCAGAGCACAAGCCCCGTTCTCACCCCGTCGCCTGCAACCAGCAAGTCAACCTGGGTGTCATGATGTGATGTAGGTGTGTCTCCCAGACGGCATCCTTCAAGAGGAGGACCTGTCCTCCTTACCCACTCTAGTACTCCCAGCACCCAGATGGGCCGTGGTGCATGCTAGGTGCTCAATGCATAAATCTTGAATGAATGAATGAATGAATGAGTGAATGATGGCCATCTGTTCTTAGTCCTGGAAGGAAGCTTGGAATCCTGAAATGAACATTTATCGATGCAGCCAATATTTCCTGAGTATTGACCATGCTCCTGGCCCTGTTTTAGGTACTGGGGATACTGTAGGAAAGAAGACAAAGTAACTTCCTGCCCTCATGGTGGGGGAGATGAACAGTAAATGAGAAAACCCCAAAATATTGATATAGCATAATATAATATGATATAACATGATACCAGGTCCTGGCATATGTTTTATGAAGAAGTGCAAAACTGGGTAAGTGACTGAGAGATGCTAATTTAGAAAAAAATGGTTGCAGAATTGCTCTCTGAGATGGTGACATTTGATGAGAGACCTGAGGTAGGCTAGCTGAGTAAATATCCGTGGGAAGCACGGGGAACAGGCAGTGCAAAGGCCCTGCGGTAGGACTGAGCTTCGTGTATGTTATTTGCAACAAGGCAGCCAGGGAGGCAAGGGTTACACTGGGTTTCCCAACTTCAGCAAATCCACAGAACCCTTAACTGTCGGAAACAGTGGGGTGGGGGTGGGATGAGTTCTTTACTCTTAAGCTTCTCTGGAAAAACATGATGTCAGGGACAGACAGTAAATCTTGACTTGTCCCAGAAAACAATGGGCCTACAAAAACCAGTAAAGTGTCAGGCTGAAAGTAAATGCCAAAGGGCTGGGGCACGGGTAGATCATATGGAATCTGTTAACAAATCTGCGTTTGAAAAAGAATTTCCCAGTTACGGGCAGAAGCTTCTGGCCAGCATCAAAAAGATGTTTATTGTGGTGCCTCTGTGTAGACATGAAAAATGAAGATTTGCTGTCTGGCTGGAGATGTGCAAAGATGTACCCGGTATGTTAAGCAAAAAAAAATAATAATTTTATATATATATATATATATATATATATATATATATATATATATGTCACAGGGTAGTGAAATATATTGTACAGCCCCTTTCATAAATTCACTCCCTCCTTCGCTCATTTGGAAAATACCCATTATAGGCCTACGGTGTGCCAGCATTCTGCTGTCGGGGGGACACAGGCATTGCCGTCCCTGTCCCCAGTGGGGAAGGCAGATAACAATCAGATCAGTACACAAATACATCATCACAAACTCGGGTCAGCACTAAGAAGAAAACACATGGTAGCTACCAGAATGTGCCCTGACATCAAGGAATGGGAAAAGGCCATGCTCCAGAACGTTGAAGGGGTCAGAAGATTTCAGGTGACTCGCTTTCCTTACGTTCCCCTTCCTTTTGAGTGTCGGTATGTTCTCATTTTTTTTGGTAATGTCATGTGTTATACCGGAGTGAATTAAAAAACACAACCAAAGCCCAAATGAATAGACGGGTTAGAAATCATGTGTCTGAAGATGATTTAACACCAGGAGAGGAAGGAAGGACACAAGAAATCGCCAGCTGTGTGTGCTTCCGGGAAGGGGGGCCAGGGGCTGGGCTGGGGAAGAGCCTCGCTCCTCGCTAGACCTCCTTTGAACCTTTCGCATGTGCGTCTACTCACAAAATGATAAAATATGCCAAGATCATTTGAAATGAAACTTCAAGTCCGGTTTCAGTTTCATGAAAAATGACAAAGCCAGCAACAGTAGGATCGCAATATAAAAACGGGAACTGAGCTGAATTGCCATGAAAATCTTCGAGCAGTTCTCTCTGGGCGACCTTGTTTTGTTTTGTTTTTGTTTTTTCTCTTGGTACGTTTCTGCATTCCTCGATTTAACATGAGAAGAAATAAAAGGGACAAGAGAAAAGATGAGTGTGCTCTAGAAACATGGTTTTGCTTCATCCCCCCCACAACCGTCCGAGGCATGCATGTACATTTCTTATCCCCATTTGACAGATGAGGACACCGAGGCTCAACGGTAAAGCCACTGGCCCGAGCTCCCCCAGCTGGGGGTCTGAGCTAGATCTGTCCAACCCCAAGGTCGTTTTTAAACCAGGATGCTCAGGTGCCCTTCAAAATGTCCTTCAAGGAAATTGCATTGCTTTGAAAATCCAAGGGGGAAAACCAAACAAACCAAACAAGAAATATTACATTTTTTTAACCACTTACTCAAGCTCTGCTGGGGCCTAAGACCAACTCGGCAAGGGGCACTGTTTGTACTTGAGGTGGGGCGTTCCTTCATCATGCCTGGCCTTACCACCCCCTCCCGTGGCAAGTCCCTGCCCCTAAAACCCCAGCTGGGCCACCCCCTCATCTGTCACCCAGAACCACCCCCCTTGCACCTCTCTGAGCCTCCCCCCCCGCCCCCCGGTTGAAGAATGCTGGTTGGGACTGAGCAGGGCCAGGAGCCATCCCGTGCGGCCACGGGGTCTGGGTGAAGAGGGGGAGACACGAGAGGCCGGCAGCCCCAGGCTCACAGGCCAGGCGGCCGCCAAGGGCCATCCGCTCTCAGGCCAGCCGAGGCCAGGCCGGGAGAGCCGGAGCCCGGTGCTGGGAGCTGGGCAGGCGGCCACTACAGTGGGGACCGGGAAGGCGTGCACTCCTTCTGCCTGCCCGGCAGCAGCCCGTGGCCGCCCGCCAGGCCCTGCCTGACGTCAGGGTCTGACCAGGGACATAATGTGCTGGCGTCGGGACAAGGGCTGGCTGCAGGGAGACAGGGCCGCGAGGCGGGGCAGCCAGAGAGAGACAGGCTAGGCGGGGAGAGAAGAAGAGAGAGAGCAACACAGTGAGAGAGAGAGACTGAGACAGAGAAGTGAAGATGAGAAATACAGAAACAGAAGGAAACACACACGCAGAGACAGAGAGACCCAGAGAGACCCAGCGAGACCCAGAGAGAGGGAGAGGCAAGAGGGAAGAGCTGGGGCTGTGGGGTTAGCTTGGGAGACTCCGGCCCCGGGCCCGGATGTGGTGACTCCCGCGCTGGGAGCCCTGCTTGCTTACCTGGGCCGTGGGAGCCTCACTGGCTTGTGGCGGGACCGGAGGACCCCTTCATCATGGGGGCGGGGGGGAATCAATCTATATAAAGTGCTTTGGCAGAGCCCTGCATATAGTACGTGCACAATAAACTGGAGGGGACAATAGAAGGGGTTGGGCAGGGAAGGAGAGAGAAACGGTAGAGGGAGGGGGGAGTGCCCTGTGAGCCCTGGTTCCACAGCGACCCCCTCCCTGCGGCCGCCACCGGACGCCTCCCTTCCCACCCCCTCCATGACTCGGGCAGGAGGCCACCAGCACAGACCTTGGCCTGGCCTTGCCTGTCTTAGGGCCCAACCTCCTGTTTATGGGCTCAAGAAGGCCGTGATCCCAGGGCCATCACGTCACCGAAGCCAAACAAGGCCAGGCCCTGGTCACCGCGGGCCTCCCAGCCCCATCACCCCTTTTCCAGTTTAATTATTAAATGGCCTAGCAGGGCTGAGGGGCTGCACCGCTGGCCTCCTGGGTGTGGGCAGCTCTGCCCCTGTGTCCCCCATTAATGCAGGGGCACACACTCCAGAGACCCCAGGGAGAGCTTGCAAAGTGCCCTTTCTCTTACTCCCGCTTTTCCGGGACCTTTCATTTTCCTCGTCGCTCACCCTCTTCATTAGGGTTCCCATTTATTGAGCACTTACTGTGTGCTGGGCATGGTCTCTAATGCTCCTGATGGCCCCAAGACAGTGAGTGCTCTTGTTACCCCATTTTTCAGATGAAGAAACTGGGCTCGGAGGGTCCCTTGACCCAAGGCCACCTGCTAACGAGTGGTGGAGCCAGGATTCCAGCCTGGCCACCCGCTTAACCAGACAGCGGCTCCCCCCACCCGCCCCGTTCCCTGAGCAGCTGCTGAGCGCCAGGTTCAGTGCCAGATGCTGTGCCCACATCACCTCTCAACCCCCCTGGTGGCCCTAGGAGGCGGCCAAGGGCAGTCTTGCCCCCCCGCCCCCACCCCGAGAGACATGGGGCTATATCTGGGGACATTTGGGGTTGTCACAACGGGGGGACTGCTACTGACATCTGGTGGGTAGAGACCAGGGATCCTGCTCAATTTCAACAACACAGAATTATCTGGCCCCAAAGGTCGATAGCACTGAGGTCCCCACTGCAAGGTAAGCCCTGTTATGCTCCCCATTTTACAGATGCAGAAACTGAGGCACAGAGAGAAATCACCTCTTGCCCAGGTGGCCATGCGCCGCACTCCTGCTCTTCTCACCAGAAGAACGCCCGCCTCTGCGGGTGGCTCCTGTCCTCAGGAGACCCCTGTCTCTATGCCAGGCCTTTCTGAGTCCTTGCTTGCCTAGTATAAATGATGCCTCACCAACTCTTTTCATCGGAAGGCAGTGTTTTAATCACCGGCTAAGAAAATAAATCAAGCCAAAAAGGCCCTGGGCAGGTCAGAATGCCTTTAAATGAATTTGTATTTTATTCGCAGCAACATTGAGGGACATTTGAGATTGGCCACACATGGATTCATGGAGCAAGCATTTTCTGAGCACCTACCATGTGCCCGGCCCTGTCCTTGGGGCAGCAGAGATACAGCCGAGAACCAGACAGACCCAGCCCCTCCTGGGTCGTTAGGAGCTAACACTCTAGTGGGGGAAGGGGACAATAAATAAGAAAGGAGACAATCAGGGTAATTTCAGACTGTGTTAAACGTGACTGTGAGGAGAGGGTGGTATCCGAGAGGGCCTTTCTGAGGCAGTGAGGCCTGAAGGATGACAAGGAACCAGCCTTGGGAGGAGGCAGGGCGAAAGGCTCTAGGCAGAGGGAACGGTATATGCAAAGGCCCTGAGGCAGGAGCCTACACGCACTGTTGAGGCACAGGAGGGAGGCCTGTGGCTGGAGCCAGGAGAGGGAGGAGGAGAGGAGAAGAAGAGGAGGTGGGAGACGTGTCAGGGCTTTGTATGAATTCTGAGGGGGGCGGGAGCCAAGGGAGGATTTTGACCAGAAGGGGCACAGGATCTGATTTAGGTTCTAACAGGATCCCTTTAGATGCTGTTGTCAGCTGAATAATGCTCCCCAAAGATGTCTACCTCTGAATCCCCCAAACCTATGAATGTTACTTTCTATGGCAAAAGGAACTTTGCAGCTGTGACTTAGTTAAGGAGCTGGAGGTGGAAGATGATTCTGGATTGTCTGAGTGTGCTCAGTGGTATCTCAGGAGTCTCATAAGACGGAGGCCGAGGGAGGGTGGTTTGGTTACAGAAGAGGAGAGGACCGAGAGAGGAGACAGACAGAAACAGAGGCTGGAGGGGCACGCTTAGCAGACAAAAGAAGGGGCCGCAAGCCAAGGAATGCAGGTGAGCCCCGGAAGCGGAACAAGGCAAGGGAGCAGCGCCCCCCTGGATGCAGCCCTGCCAGCCCCTTGACTTTATCCCGAGACTGATTTCAGACTTCTGAGCTCTGGAACTGCGAGCGAATACATCTGTGTCGTTTTCAGCCACGACATTTGTCGTGATTTGTTACGGGAGCCAGAGGAGACTCATGCAGATGCTGTGGGTGGGACAGACTGTGGGAGGGTGAGACAGAAGCAGGGGGACCGGGGAGGGGGCTCCTGCCACAGTCCAGGCAGGAAATGAGCAGGGACCCAAGGAAGTGACGGAGTTGCGAGAACCTCAGGAGCCAGAACGCATAGCCTTGCTGATGGACTGGATGCTTAGGGGGCGGGAAGGAGAGGGCCAGCGTCCCTGGCTTCACTCAATCACCCCTGGGCTGCTGCCTGGGACACAGAGGGGCCTCTGCATGGTTCCTGCTCTGAGG